GATGATGATGATGATGATGATGATGATGATGATTTGTTTCATTTCCCTGGCTGTACTCCGTTGTTTATCGCCGCTGCTTCTGGCGATCCCGAGATTATGCGTCTTTTGCTTGAAAAGGGTGCTCAAGTGAATGCATGTAATGAAGCACACTGCACTCCATTGATGATTGCAAGCAGGAAAGGCCACGCGAATGTAGTAAAATTGCTCATTGAACGCGAAGCCGACCTGGCTCTCAAGGACCGAGATGGTCAAACAGCCATTCACTATGCTGCTCAGAAGTATTATAGGGACGGTAACTCAGTTGAAATTTTGAGTTGTTTGATTGAAAATGGAGCAGATGTCAATGCACGAACAAACAACAACCGCACCCCTCTCATGTTTGCCAGTAGTATAAGTGAAGTTAATTGCCCCATTGACCTCCTTAAATTCCTTGTTAAACATGGAGCTGAAATAGATCTTCAGGATGATTATGGTAACACAGCTCTTCATTATGCAAGTTATCCTTATCCTAAATCTGGTACTGTTTTCTACGCACTGCGAGATCTTGGAGCAACCTTTCTAGAGAATAACTGCCGATTAACACCTCTTCTTTTGGCAACTCAGATATCAGTTAACACTTTCTTTGTAATGGATTCAATACGAACTCTGGATCTCACAAAGAATGAGCGCGTGGATGCACTTGAGCTTTTAGGAGCATCTCTTGCAACTAAACGTACTTTTCGGGGTTTTATTGGATATGGATACGATGTTGCAGAAGGATTTCATTACCTGAAGCTTGGAATGGAAGAAAGGTTTTCTGACCTTTCTTATCCTTTGTTTAAACAACCAATGGAACCTGTTGAAGCTTATCAGAAAAGAAAAGAGAGTCAAACTCCTGAGGAACTTGCGCAGATTGAAAACAACACTTGTAATCAGAGAGAGAATTCTTGGAAAGGACAACCCAAAACTGAGTGGCCGAATTATAAGTGTTGCTGAATACTATAAAAACCATGATATCATCAAGTTTTCATTGTTGTATAAGTATGCAATAAGGATAGCCCACAACTCCAATAAGTCTGCCACCAGATGGTTGGACTCTCTAGTTTCTGGTCTCATGGAAAGGGCGCCATATAAGTATTCTCCAAGGGCAAATGACATAGTTGAATTAGGCAATCTGATCGTTCTTGAGTATGAGCTACAAGAAAAGATATTAAGGGAAACTGAAAGTTCCTCAAATAAAAAGGGCTCAAAATGGCTCAAAGTGGATATGTTATGTCTGTTTAGGTCTTCATGGCAACTTGTGCCGATAGTTGCTAAATATAAGCTTTGTGATGATGATGAAGTGTCACTAGTACTTAAAAAACTTGTACGTAAAGATCCCCATTTGCACAAAAGAAACACACTCCTTCATGAGGCTGTTGTTAACTATGGTTGGCTTTCTGGTCCTGAAACAGTGAGGATTCTAGTGAAAGCGGGGATGAATGTTAATGCCGTTGACCACAATGGAGACACTCCACTTCACATAGCTGTTACTTCTCGACCCTGGCGTGATGAGATTCATTGTTTGATGGATATCCTGCAGCTTCTGTTTGATGGAGGAGCTCATCATGATTTTGTCAACAATAATGGTAAGACACCCATGGACTTGGCTGTAACTGATGAAGCTCGCATGATTCTTTTAGAAAGAAGAAACCTGGAGCTACAGTGTATCAGTGCCAAAGCTGTAAAAAAATTTGGAATTCCCTTTTTGGGAGTGGTACCCAAAGTACTAGAGAAATACATTAACATGCATTAAAATTATTATTAGTTCATGGACGTTATTGAAGTAGATTGAAAAAACTATTTTGAAAGGAATGTGAAAAATATAGGTATTGGGAAACTGTGAGTAGCAGACTAAGCTGAGTGGCTTCTCACAGATGTAGTTGGATTGCACATTCGAGTTGGCTTTTGGGCAAAAGAATTCATACTTCCAGGGATTAAACAGGTCATGAAAGTTTACCACGGCATTTTGCAGGACTGAAAAGTCTTGAAATGTGACTTCAGGATTTGGAACGTCCTGGAGATCTATGACATCAAATTAATAGTAATGGAGCGATTTTCGTATGACCTTGAAATGAAAATGTGTGAACAAAAAAAAACAACAAACCAACAGAAATAGAGTGATTTGATTGGTTTATCAAATGGACACAAACATTCGTGGCTTTTGGTTAGTCAAGCGAATGCTTCAGTGAAAAAACTTCATGCCCGAGAACTTTCTAGAAATCAATCTATACTTCGCTTTGGTGTCATACTGCACCACGATTGGCAAATTGAACAATGCCTAGTTCTCCATAATTTTAGGGTTTTCTTTGGCGGGAAAACGAAGAGTCCTTGTTTTGATCTCTTCATCCATTTGCTAATAAAACAAAATAATGAAGGTCACGCAAAAATTGCCGTAATAATTGTTCAAAGCAACCATTTACACTGAAAAGCCCTCAGCAGATGGAAATAAGTTTTGAAGATTTTAAATTTCTATTGCATTTGGGACCCCTGGAAAAAACTTTCACCATCCTTGAAAATTCCCAGAAATTAACCCTATAGTCAAGTACTATGCAATCAGAAACATTCATCTGTATGTTATTGTCCCTCTTCACATTGTCATTTGATGTTATGGGAACATCAAAATGCTGGCTGATAAAGTATTTTTATGCTAATAATTTATTCTCAAATGTGTGACTAAATTTAATTTGATGTTGTAAACTGTGTGAACTCCACACAGTAAACGTGGTTTACAAAATAATGTACTCATGGTTTAGCGCCTGAATATTTACAGGATAGATTTGTAAACTGTGTTTCGAATTATTTCCGTCTCCCCCGCACCAATTGTCTTAAAAATAGTTTTCGTTTTAACAGGGTGGTCTTATGGAATCAGGTTTGCTTTCGACTCTTCGGCAAGCAGAATCCATACACATTTTTAAATCTAGCTGCAAGGAATTCTTCAAATAATATACACTCGGCATCCATGGAAAGCAGGCTAACTTAATAAGCCATTTCTGAGTTCCCCTGGGCCTCTGTTTCAAAACGAGGGTAGGTGCTCAGCCTTTGATATGGAAATCATTTTTCATTCTCATGCAAATAAAACTCATTTTCACAAGAAAGGTTGTGCACCTAGCCTCACTTTGAAACTGAGGGCTTTTAGAACTTGAAAGTGGCCTATTTATATACTATTATTTTATTAATTATTAATTACTTGATATTATATATGTACATCTGTTTTATATTCTATTTATTATCATATTATTATATTATAGGTTAGATCATAGGTTATATATTATATATATATATATATATATATATATATATTATAAGAATAACTTAGAATTTTATCTTAGTTATATGCCTGATGTTTTTACCAAGTTTAAATAAAGTTACTTGAATTGACTTGACTTGTAGATGGCCATAATAGTAGTAAAAGTATAATTTTTAGACTAGTTTTAGGAAGCCAGAATCTTTTTGTGTAGTGTATGGGTCATTTCTGTGACATTAAACTGGTTTCTAACAACTTGTGCAATTTAGTGGGAAATGTGCAGAGTTAAATACCTTACAATAACTTTAAGTACAATAGAGTTAGATGAAAGATACATCAATGTATTTATTATTTATTTATAAGTATCATCATTGATATGAGATTTGTAGAAAATCATTATATAGTAATCAAGTTATAGGAAAGTTAACATCGTGAATAAAATATGTTAAAAATTACCAGTTTATTCAACTTTCTGTTATTTTCGCAGGTGACCCATGCATGCCAGTATGAATTTAATACTTCGATTAGGCAGCCTTTGTTCCTTTTGGGAAAGAGTGCAATATTTGTGGATGAAGGAAATCTCTATAGTCACTCCCACCCCTCACCAGATAGAAGGGATTGGAAATAGGGATTATCCCTGGGGGGATGTGATACCTGGAGGACAGAAAAACATCTGTCCATGGCTGCCACTGCTGGGGTGATGTGATTTTATGCATGCGTAAGGTACTGGCCATACCGCAGAGTTGGTACTTCAATGCTGAAATTGGTATTGTTTTTGATAATTTTGTGCCTGGTTTCTGGTTTTGGCTGCAGCCTTGCTCAAGTTTTCTTACATGTTCTGTAGTACAAAATACTAAGAAAACTGTGAACGCCACAATTATTTCAGGAATGTTGATTGAGTAGAGGCCAATCACAGCTTATACTTAAGTTTTATCACTTCCTTTTTCCTACATTTAGAGATGTTTTTGGTGGTCATGATTTTCTTATTTTCACATTCTAGCCCACAAGCTAAATAAACTGACTCTTTTTTTTCCCTCCTGAACCAACTAGAACTGATGTTTAGAAAGTTCTGGTTTTGACAGTCAGTGGTCACTTCCTTCACTTCATACAACTGTCTGTAATTCGCATCTTCCATCTAACTCGCCTCTGTTGTCCAAGTGTAGGATAGCGTTACTCAGCGGATAAATCACTACCCATTGCACAAGTAATAGAGAAAGCAATAGGTTATTTACTATGAGGTTATATTATCCACCCTTTGAACAACTGGGACATGATATTGATGTGGATCAGAAAATGGGCATTCTTCAGTCACCATTTCATGACATTGCATGACCACCATTCATCATCTCCACACTTTTTTGTTACTGTCACTGCACAACTGAAGTGCTACAGCCTTGGTTCTCGTCACCTCACAATACTTCAAGTACTGTGATCAAATAAGAACAAGTGTATCTTGAAAATTTTAAATTAAAAACACTTAACTTAGAGTAAACATAGACTGGACTAGCTATCTAATCACAGACGCAGAACAAGTAAAGCAGATAGGATGACAACAAGATTACTGTAACAAGAAGTACTGACGACATTATAGGAATCTTAAAAAAACAGGCAAACAATATACCAAACAAAAGACACTGAGCACATCTACAAACACGATCAACAACACACACACGTGCGCAATAAACACCACAGAACACAACACAAACCGAGAAGAGACTGGGGAGAAAACCTCACTCCAGAGATGAGACTCGCTCTTCTAGGACTGGAAACTAGTACGAGAAATCAAAATGGCGGATGAGTCGACAAAAACGAGTGGAGAGAATTTAACCGAAAAACCGACCTGTACGTTCTTTAAAAAGGCAAATAAGAACCGTAACGTTCGTAAAAGAAAAGTGGAAAAGTCGGATAGTGAAGACGATGACGAAACCACGGTTATCAGAAAAGAGAAAAGGACAATTTCTAACCCCATGTTTCAGAAGACTGAAGGATTCGGTTCGAAGTCAAAACGTGAAGCAGACGAAGAAGATATCGATGTATCATTTAATCGGCAAGCAGAATCCATACACATTTTTAAATCTAGCTGCAAGGAATTCTTCAAATAATATACACTCGGCATCCATGGAAAGCAGGCTAACTTAATAAGCCATTTCTGAGTTCCCCTGGGCCTCTGTTTCAAAACGAGGGTAGGTGCTCAGCCTTTGATATGGAAATCATTTTTCATTCTCATGCAAATAAAACTCATTTTCACTAGAAAGGTTGTGCACCTAGCCTCATTTTGAAACTGAGGGCTTTTAGAACTTGAAAGTGGCCTATTTATATCCTATTTATTAATTATTAATTACTTAATATTATATGTACATCTGTTTTATATTCTATTTATTATCATATTATTATATTATAGGTTAGATCATAGGTTATATATTATATATATATATATATTATAAGAATAGCTTAGAATTTTATCTTAGTTATATGCCTGATGTTTTTACCGAGTTTAAATAAAGTTACTTGAATTGACTTGACTTGTAGATAGCCATAATAGTAGTAAAAGTATAATTTTTAGACTAGTTTTAGGAAGCCAGAATCTTTTTGTGTAGTGTGTGGGTCATTTCTGTGACATTAAACTGGTTTGTAACAACTTGTGCAATTTAGTGGGAAATGTGCAGAGTTAAATACCTTACAATAACTTTAAGTACAATAGATTTAGATG